GCTCAATCAGTTCCATTAAGATCTGCATAAGAAAACCTTTCAAGATCCAAAGCATTAGTTAGCATTAGTTCAAGATCCAAAGTTCGTATCAAATTGAATTTTCAAGCAAATAACTAAAAAGAAAAAAAAATCACTAAACAAAGAAAAATCATCCAATTTACAGTGAAAATTAAATAAAATCAATGCTAATAAAATATTAATATTTAAAATATTAAAAATAAAACTATTAAAATATTAATAGTTTACTATAATTATATCATTAACTCAGCAACATTTGAATACAAAACTTCCAAAGAGCATTAAATGCAATACCTGATTACAGGTTTTTTTTTCATACACTTAGGTCATTTATTTTAGTTTCTAGGTGAATACTAACACTTCATCCACATCAAAAATACGAATGTACCATCCTGAAATACAATTTTTATTATCTTAATGTACTGTAAGTATCTTTAAAAATCCTACTAAATCCAAATTATTCAACACAAATGCATACTCAAGGAATTTAAGCTTCTATTCTGTTACTCAAAACAAGGCTGACATGACTATCTTTGTGTTCATCATATCTAAATATTATGTACCTTTTTTATTTTCCTTCTGAGTTCTCAAAGTCTGTAAGAAATAAAAGATGGTGAAAGATCCAGTCTATTCCATCACAACTGTAATTCAAGTGTATTTTTTGAATCAAAAATCATTTTACCAATGATCTGTAAAGACTTGATTTTGGATTGATCCTGATTAGTTGAAGAAGATCTTGCATAGTCAACAGCTTTGAGGGGAAAAGAAAGATAAAAAAAGATGAATTAGAGAGGGTTAACTATCTTTAAAACATTTCAAATATGTAATAGCCATTGTTTTACACTGCTATAGAATAACTTTCAATCTGAGAAAGATCTATATATCACTTTGTATTTGTAAGTGTATTTGTATCACTCCCTGAGGCTTGCTGCTCTAGTAGTATGTTTACTATTTCTGTTATCTAAGATATCTGGCAGTGAGTGTGCAACCTCATGAGGGACGGAAGCTGGGAAGACATGGTTCTATTTTCTCCTCCACCTGGACCCAGGCTTTTGCTGCTTTACTTGCATCACTTGTAGCCACACCATATAAAGCAGATCAGCTGGGTAGTCCAAGTGACACCTTATCTCTTTGTAGCGCAGAAAATTTGATTTTCCCTTAGAAACATCTTCATCACAATATGAAGTAATAATAGTGGGGAAACAAAGGAAGGGCCAGGACTGCTCTTTTCCAGCCACAGCCTGTTGTTAGAACAGCTTAAATGGACTGTGGACCACACTTTTTCTGGGAGAGGGAAAAGGAAAAAAAAAGTCTCCTTTTAATTAGGATCAGTTCAATCAGTTTGCCACATGGCACAAAAAAAAAGTTTTTTAAACAGTTTTAAAGTATTTGTGAAAATAGCCCTCATCAGAGGCTGCGCTGTCACAAAAGGGGATTTTTCAATTATGCTGAAAGGTTAATATTTGCAAAGCTCCTAAAAATCTTAAAAGAGGTAAATTAAAATAGAATAAAGCTTACCTTCTTCTTCTCTAATCCACTTTCTGGAAAGAAAACAGAAAGTGAATACTCATAGCCACATCTCTGCAGATGATCTGCCACCAAACTGTTGGAAGCTGTGATCAAAAGTGAGCCATCTTCACTTGCAACAGTGTGTGGCTGAAGCTCTCCACTTAAAATCGGGTGCATTAATTCATGGATTAGCTGGTTTCGTAGCTGTGTCTGGTACAGAAAAGAAATTTTAACAATCGGTAAACAGAGAAAATGGAAGTTTTTGTTTTTCAAAGCCCTTGGGAGTCTCACTGCATTTGTATCTGCCACATTATCACCTATTTAATAGAAAGGGAGGCAGACTAACTTTGGTAAAATTTAGACTGTTCGGGACACCGTGGTTTTCTTCAGTGCTCACTAGTGGTGCTAATGATGTTTGACTTTCCCTCAAAATATAACACTGAGAAGAAATATTGTTACCTGTGCAAACACCCACGTGAGCACCACGCCAGCACCTTCCTGCCCCAGCATCATTTTAGATGACCCCTTTTCTGTGCTCCTCCTCTCTGCTTATATGAAGCCCATCTAACGTGAGCTGTTTCAGCTATGCTTGAAAAACTCACAAATGCACCTAAACCAAGAATTCTATAGCAAAATTAGATGATAAAACGGGAAATACAGTGTTTTAATATCTTCCATTATTCTGCAGGGAAGCAAAAGTACATTAATCAAAAAATGCCTCCTGGTACTCGAAATCACACAAATATTCAATAACAAATGCAATGTAATGATGTGTACTATGATAGAAAAAGAAGTAACACGAAGTCAAAAAGGAAGAACTGTAAGAGGAAAAAATAACTTTCATTCTGTAATTATACAGTTCTATAGCAAACTATAAAGCTGTGATAGAAACAGTGTTTTAAGCTGTCAACAGCAGCTGGGCAACACTGACAAAGCTTCACAAGTTGGTTAAAGAAACAGTATGCTTCCAAAAATGAAACACCTGATGTCTACCAAAGCTTATCACAGTTAGCTCATACTAGAATGCCTTGATGTGTTAGCAGGGCTTTTTATGGAAATAAGGTTGGTACCTGACAGAAGTGAAGACACCTGACACATTGTTACAATGGGTGCCCTCAATAACTTCTGCCTTTGTCCAGTTTCAACTAACTTTGACAGATAAAGCTGTCTCTGAGACTAGCAGCCTCTTACAAGTCTTGTGACAAAGCATAGGTGGAAAACACCAGAGGGCTAAATCCTTGTCCCTACTAAAGGGAAAGGGGAAAAAAAATCCAGCTGTTATAGAGTTATTCTTTTTGACAGGAGGTAACACTTGGCCATTCAGCATATGTGCAGCCCCAATCAACCAAGGCGCATGACTTCCTAGCAGCAGTGATTGTCAGGAAAGATGGCAGGAAGGTTGACAGTACTCTCACTGGAGGATGCAAGGGCATTTGCAGGAATCCACTAGAAACCCAACTTCATTATTTCTTCAGCTGAGCAAAGCAATAAAATATTAGGATGCATAACCCTCTAGAAAAGGAAAACAAAGCAGAAAGACTGATGTGAATAGCAAATCACTTGACAGATTTAGTTAAACCAAACAAGACAGTGATTCAAATATTACTTGTTTGGCATGGGAATCACTAAAGGAGAAAACAAACAGTCCTCACTCAGGAAAATTGCTGTAAGATTAACACTAGCATTCTTAAAGAACAGCTTATGAATGCTGCCCCTTCAATGAGTTTGACATAAAACATATGAACTAAAAAAGATATATATCTATATATATATATAGTAGCAAACAGCCTCTGTGATCTAGATGCTCCTTTCCAACGTGGAGGCTCATCTACTCTTCTCCATTCTACTTTACATTCACTGCAAACATGGAAACTTGAGAGGCCTTAGAGAAACTATTAGCCTTCCTGCAAAGACCATTCCACAATGGAAAGCCCGTTTGTATATGGGAAAAAAAAAGGGGCAGAAAAGCTGAGTATGGATTACACTGCTCGGAAAAAATAATACATGGAGGGGACAGTGGGAAATGCAGTTATTCCCGATGAATTTCACTGCCGGCTTTCACTGGTAGTGCAGCAGCCACGGCTGGGCACAAACCACACACCTTGAGTGTGTCCAGCACACCGCGCTTCTTAAAAGTCTGATAGAGCCTTTTCCGCAACTCATCTTGGGACAGCGCCTCCCGTTCAGCCGAGGACATCCTGACCTAGGGCACCGGGAAAGACAACAATATAAATAAAGATAAAAACAAAATCTATAGTTTTGCTGACTCGACACCCGCCCGAGAGCCCCCCGGCACCTCAGCTCGCCAGCTCCCGCCCGCGCTGCTCCGCGGGGCCCCTGGGGGATGAG